AGCCACAGAGATGTAAACAAACCTAGTGTTTGGGGAGATGGTAGTTCTGAACAGGTGAGCACACAGGCAGCACACAGGTGAGGACTCTAGAAAGACACAGACTGAAGGGGTAGGGTAGGCAGCATCCTGGAGAGGTGGCTGAGGAGGGGGTTTTGCCAAGGGACATGTTTGAGTTTGGATTTGGGAAAGATCACTCAGGGGGGTGTGCAGGGGGAAGCTGGGGAGGCTGTGTAACTGCCAGCAGGAAGCCAGCTGTGGGTGGGTGATTAGCACTCTGTGTCATTCTACCAGTTGTGGTGAAGGAGCACTTGTACTTGACCTCAGTGACACTGCCTGCTGCTCCTTGAGGAGTGGAATTGGTGTGTTCCAGGAAACCTTACACTTCCGTGATGGCAAAGGGTAAAAGGAAGATTGACAAATGGCATTCCAGCAAAGATTTGCTCAGACCCCCACCCTATATAGGCTTGCATCTCTGACAATTTTCAAACTTTCTACCTAAAAATGTCACTGATTTTACAAAATGGGCACAGGCTTTGTCCACTCTTAGAGTGAATTTTACCCTCTTCCTCTAAATCCTCTTCCTCTCTTGCTACTGACCATTCAAAAAAGACAACAAAGTCTTTGCCCGTGGGCAGTAGTATCCTTAGCGGATATGTGAAAACTGGCCAGAGGAGAGTGAGAGCAGAAGCAAAATATGATGGTTTTTTTAGAGCAAAAATCTGGTTTCTCACATGAACCCATTGCCCAGAGTCCTTGAGACGATTTCAAATTTGCATTCATCCCTGGGTTAAAAGGTCCATCACTGGCTCATTACACAGCAGGAATTGCCACACTGGTTTCTGCCAAGGACAGAACAAGAGGAAATGACCTTACAGGAGGAGGAGGGGTGAGGCTGAGGGAGAACTCCTTGCCTGGGCCCCTGGGGGATGGCAGAATCATCTTTACTAGTGATTTAAGAAGAAAGGATTCTATCCATGTGCCAGGAAATGAGCTTCTCAACACCCAGATCCTTGAAAAGGTAGCTCAGTGGGCCACTCCAGACCTTGTCACCTCCCCACCGCAAACTGCTGACTCTCAAAGTTGCAGTAAGAGCTCATGGTTGATTACTGAATTTTAATTTTTTGGTGACTTCAGGGACATACCCAGATCTCCCTGGCTGGTTGCCCTAAGCAGATTGATTTATGTAATGCTATTCTGTTCCTTAGAGAAAGATCTTTAAATAGCAAAGAAGGAACTCCTGGATTGCAGCGAGGCAGCTGACCTGCACAGCCTCAGAGAGGAAGAAGGGACGCCACGGCACATTGCTGCTGTCATTTGGAGAAGCTCAGGGGCCAGGCTCAAGAGCTGAAAGCTGGGGGGAGGTTTCCATGTGAGGAGGGCCCAGGTTCCTGCTTCACTCTGGAAAGACCCACTGGGGAAGAGTCTCTTGAAACATCTACAGTGATTCATTTTCAGCTCTACTGTCCCTGGTCAAGCACACGAGAGAGCTGAGAAACAGAGCCTCTGCCAGGGGAACGGCACATTTGGGAATAAAAGACCCAAATTCACAATATGAAATTATACTAATAAACATGAAGTCATGCATTTAGGTTCTGAAGCACTAAAATGAGGTAGAGGATCATGGTTTAGCAGTAGTTAAGTAAAAATAAAAATCTAGGAGTATCTGCTGCTTTCCAGCCCTCATTTGACATGATTATGACAAAAACCACTTTCAAGGTATGGTAAGATGTTTTAAAGTCTACACTAGGGGCCAGTATTCTGTCCTGTTTAGATCATACTAGGAGAACTGTCTTAAATTCTGATCACTAAAGAGACTGACAAAGTGAAACGTGTAGCACAAAGGAAAAATGAGAAAACGAAAGTTTAGAAACCATGAAATATAAGGGACGGTTGAAAGAATTGGATCTGTTTGACTTGAAATAGGATCTAACTTTTTTGGTTTTATTTTATTTTTTTTTTTCCTTTTTGTCTTTTTTCGTGTCCGGCAACGGATCGCAACCCTCAGTGTCGCGCCCGTACTGGACCGGGACCGGCAACGGGATCGCAACCCTCGGTGTTGCGCCCGCACCTCGCTCAGCCAGTGAGTGGCCGGTCTGTATGTGGGATCCGAACCCTCGGCGGGAGCGCCACCGCACTCCCAAGCGGCGCACTGTAGCAGTGCGCCACCGGGCCGGCCCCGCGAGTTGTCTTTAAGGCAGACCAGACCCCACTTTTAGAAGCCAACCACTCAGTGAGTACCACTGCACCTGTTCCAGGCAGCTCCCACATGCGCACATCAGCACTGGGCTGAACTCAGAAGCTGGGGGTGGAGGCTGCACAGCCCCCGCTCCAGCACCCACCCCAGGATTCCTACCGCTGTCGACAGTGCTGTGCCAGCCTCGGATGCCGCCCACCCAGCAGGCACCTCTGCTGTGCGCTTTTTCACCCCTCCAGTGAAAAAGACCGGTTGCCACCTCTCCTCAGAGCTGCAGAATATAGGGTTTATCTGGACCCCTGCCTTCATCCCATGGTGAAAATAAGACAGAGCACAGGTAGGTTTCTGTTAAACAAGCAGTCATGAAAATCTCTGCAAAACCACAGTGTTCGTCCTCTGTCAGTCATACCTGATTTTAAGCCAAATTTAACACCACCCTGTTCCCTGACAGTGGAAAGATTTAGATGTCCCCCAGCGGTTCCTTGCATGGGAAGCTTAACCTTTTGCTTCTCATAAAGCAACACCCACAGAGGCTTTCTTTTTCATGCAGATTCAGAGTGCAGAATTCCTCACCAAGATCATATTCTCAATTAAGACTCCAAGGATGGAAATTACAAGGTGACATCCTTATCAAGTAAGAAAAAGGTATTAGGGCACCCAGGGAAATTGGCCTTTGGGAAAAAGAAGATAGATGTTTTAATTAATAAACATTGTGCCCCCTGGAAATAGCCCCTGTACCCAAGAACTTCCTTCTCTAAAGAGCCTCTTGACTTATTTTCTCTCTTGCTCAGCCAAACTCAAATGACTGAGAAAATTGGTTTGTGTCTCCAGCAGGCACCCAGCTGTGACACCTCTCAGGCACACCTGGGCCTTCTGGGGGCACTCTACCCTGTCTAGACTCTTGATTCATGCTTAACCTGTTACACGTGTGGCACCAGGCAGAGCACATGATGGGCAAGATCTCCCTCGGAGCCTTGCAGATAAGGTGGCTCATTAACAGCAGTGCAGACAGAGTCACGGGGCTGGGTTGGGAATTTAGGGGACAGTGGAGCACCCAGCAGCAAGCCGTGGTCAGTGGGTCCTTCTCCAGGAGGAGCCATCCCAGCTCAGAACCTTCGTACCCGCATTCAGCCAGTTCCCCCGTGCCCGTAAAGTCTGGAGCTGCTCCAAACCAAAGCTGCATGGTGAGAATGGCCTTGAAGGGTGTGAGCTTTGGAAGAACCACACCTTGCCCAGTTACCACCTACTGAAAGCATTTTACATGAGATTCTTTAAGGATTCATAACTCAGGCCATGTGAAACCTCTTTAATTGCTGCTCGTCACCTTTAGCTCCTTAAGCCACCCTTAGTAGAAGAACTTGGGAATGTCATTGTTCTGCACAGAGCCTAATGGGAGGGAATAGGGTCAGCAAGTCATGAGGACAAAAACCACACACACAGAATGTACAGACTGAGGAGTGAAGAGAGGATTGGGAACACCGGGCTGAGAATTCCTAAAACATCCTGAATATCTGAACCAATGATTGAGCAGAAACTCATGCGAGCAACTGAACATGTGGCTACTTTGTCCCAAATCTTAAAGAGTGAAAGGCTGCAGAGGTGTCTGCCCGCCATAATGTGACTCCTCTGCCTTCTCCAGGCTCCCCTCTTGCTCTGGCTCATGACTGCAGCCTCTTGTCAGGCTGCTCCTGTGCCTGAGTGTCCTTCCTGTATGGCACTGCCCTCCAGTTGGCAAATACCTCTTCAACTTCCAAGATTTTGTCTGGGAATGACTTCCCAAGGCAGGCTTGTCTCCCCCTCCCCCTACGCTGCCTCACCCCTCCATAAAATTGATCACTCCCTCCCACCAACGTGCCCCGTACGGACTTGAGTCACGGCTCACTTTAGGGTACTTGAATCTTGTATCGTTGACTCTTTGGGGCTAATACCATGTCTTATGAAAATCAACTATGCCTAGCCCTCCAGACTTTCTCCACATCAAATAACACATAGAAAATGATAAGGGTTATATTTATATGACAAAAGAGGCTGTTCGTCAAGGAGATCAGTATCTCAGCACACCGTTAATAACCCATTCAAAGCCTAAACATACCAGCTGAGAAGTTCCACATAAGAGACCCTCAGTTAATGTTGCTTAAAAGAATTAGTCAATCAGACTGTCGATAGGATTAAGAAACTTCTGGAATTAGGCAAATAAAGATCTTAGAAACCAATGAAAGGATTGGTAGCAGAGAAGAAACATAATTAAGACTAAGTATGACCCCAGCAGAAGGGTAATAGGTGTGTGGATTTCTTACCCAAGATCTCCTCGACCGAGTATGCCCCGAGGCTCCATTCCCAACTTGACCTTCCATCACTGCATTTCATGCATGCCAGTCTCCTGATAGCCCCTCACTCATGGAAGATTGTCTGCCCGGAACCATGAACTAAGATGTGTCCTGGCAATCACACATGGACTGGAATCAAGTCCTGTGTTAATGTGACCTGAAGGTGTCCGTGCGTACGCCATCCTGATGACTTCCATCCTCCCTTGAGCACCATTTGCATGTGTACTTTAAGAAGTATTATTCCCTCTAGGAACAAGGTGCTGAATCTTCTCCCAGCATCGGAGGTGGCTCCTCAGCCTGAGAAATCTGTCCACTGCTCCTCAGAGCTCTGCTACTTTTGTCTTTGCTTTAGAGTTTGCAGAATGAAATTTCTGATAATGCTTTATTGCTGTGACATTGCTGGAAGTTTCCTGTGTTTCATGATGGCTTTATCAGTGAACCCCTTCCTGCAGTAATGTGGTATGCCTCTCCCCCCACAGGCACAGAGGGTGCACAAGAAGTTTCCTAAGCCCGGCAGAGCACACCGCTTCTCTGAGAAGAAGCCTCATTCCGTCCCTTCACCAAGCACCTCTGCACCGAGCTGTACACCTGACAGCAGCCAGCAGTCCCCGCTCAACAGTCCACATCCACAGCCTGGCCGGACAGGCCTGGCTGCTGGACACCAGCAGGAATTTGCCAGACAAGCCAGCAGCACCCTCAGCATCCCCTGGTCTTTCCAGAGAAGCAAGTCCTTGTTTTGTTTGCCCACAGGAGGCCCCTCCTCGCCCTCCTCTGCTGAACCACAGTGGTTTTCAAACACAGGGTACCCAGGGCACAGGGCATCGGAGGGGAGGCACGGCCACCTCCTCTCCATTGACGACTTGGAGGGGGCCCAGGAGACGGATGTGGACACGGGCCTGCGGCTCTCCTCCTCGGACCTGTCTGTGGTCTCTGCATACTCTGCACCCAGTAGGTTCTGCAACACAGTGGAGAATTCCCTCTCCTCCAAAAGATGCAACAGCCACTGGCCAACATGCAAGGGTTCCAGAGAAGGATCGCTGCCTGCTTTCAGCGGGGCGACCACCAAAGCCTCCTGGGATCCAGTTCCTTCCTTCAGCAAGGGGTCTTCCAGCTCCTCAGTGACAGCTGTTGCTGCTCACCCAACTTCGCTCACAGAGTCATCCCCACAGCTCCCTTGTGAGGCTCCCAAAGTCAAGCACACTGGCAGCAACGTGCCACCCCCCCCAGCGCAGGCTGGTCCCGGGGATAGTGACATGGAGGAATTCTACATCTGAACACCCTCTGCTCTTGTTTTCCAGACACACAGACTCAGGGCCCGCTGCCCACTGCCCCTCTGATCTCCAAGCACACCAGTGTTCCCAGCCCCGTTCCCCAGGTCTGGCTGGAATTTCATTATCCATTTCACGGGGGTCACCAGCACATTTGCCTGCTGCCCTTAGCTGAGAGGTGGTATATTTCTAGGGACTCAGTGGAAAAACACTGGCATTTTTATGCAAATAAATTCTCAGCAATCTTATGTCTTAAAATACAATTTTTGAATACTCAACATTTAAGATATGGTTTGGTGCACTTACACAATTTAAATGCTCATATAATTATTTGAAATGAGGAGCAGATTTGGCAATTTCTCATGCTGTAAAGGAAAAACAAAGCCAAGAGCTGAGCATAGGAGAGGTACTAAGTGACTTGTATGTGAGATGAGTGCACAGTACCATGACGTACACCTCACTGAATTCATCTGTATTCACATTACCAGGAAACAGTGGCCCTAAGAAACTTTAAGTCCTGCTTGTAGTGGGAAGAGTCAGCTTGATGAGATAGCTGTAAACATACATCAGACTACAGAATAGCTCACTTTGAAGCCATGCACCATCTTAAAAATCTGGAAATATACTAAAGTGACTAATATGCTTTATAAGGATTTAGCATGAGTCACAGACTCTTGGTGCATTTAAAATATAATTGGAGTTCCAAAATCGAGATTTGCGTATACCTTTTCTACAACATATTTACTGTAATGAATGAGGGGCTGCAGAAGACCACACCCCTACCTGAATTTATTTGGATCACTTAGGAAGAATCCTTCGTTGGAGTTACAGAATCATAGGCTTGTTAGACATGATGGGTAGGAAATCTTAAGAATCTTCCACCTTAAAAACCGCAATCTAAGGGCTGTGTGTATACCTATATTTGTACCTAAACAACGAACCACATTTTATACTGCTTTCTGCAGTGAACATGCATGGTTACATGTCCCATGTTTTTAATTTTTAAGTAATTTGGAACATTTTAACTGGCATTTTGATTGCACAGGTTAATAAATGCCTTCCTCCCCCAAATGGGAAACTTTACCCAAAATGCCTCCTAAACAAACACTGGTGCTCTGCCAGCCTACACAGCAGCATGGGGGCTTTCATTACAGCTGGAGCTTTAGCCACACCTTGACTTTTCCTGCCTGTTGTTTGCTTCTGTCGCAGCATAAATGGTATCAAAATCTCACCTCCCTCTCCCCCCAGTAAGGGTATGTTTACAACTTCAACCTCAGCAATGCCAAGTGCTGGCAGTGGGAGCAATGCCAAGCTGTCCCTGGGTGCTGTTCATCTTTGGGGACGAAGGGCATAGGTTTGCCTTGTTTGTTTCCCAGCCTGGTGCTCCTTGTCTAAGTTACTCACAGCGTAGTTTTCACCTCTCTGGAAGAGACACCAGCCGAGACATAGCTCAAAATCCTTCCCAGCATGGCCCTCCAGGCAGCAGTTACCCATCATCAGACTTGAGCTGAAGCTTCAAGTCTTTGCCATCCTTATAATGAGAGCCTTAGATCCTGCCCCAAACATCCTGGACTTCCCAGGACTTGCAGTTGTAATACTCTGCTCCAATTTAAATGAATAAAAATATGTGCTCTTGTAATTCTGGATCAGAAGTAAGCAAACTTTCTTTTTTTTTTTTTTTTTTGTCTTTTTCGTGACCGGTAAGGGAATCGCAACCCTTGGCTTGGTGTCGCCCACTCCGCGCTCAGCCAGTGAGCACACCGGCCATTCCTATGTAGGATCCGAACCCGCTGTGGGAGCGTCGCTGCGCTCCCAGTGCCCCACTCCCAAGTGGGCCATGGGGCTGGCCCAGAAGTAAGCAAACTTTCTGAAAAGGGCTAGATAATAAATATTTTCAGCTTTGCCAGTCATGCAGTCTCTGCTACTGCCATTGTAGCACAGAAGCAGCCAGGGATAAAATTAATGAATGGGAGTGGCTGAGTTCCAATAAAACTTTATTTATAAGAACAGGTGGTGGGCCAGAGTTGGCCAGCTCTTGAGCTAGACTGCTGCCTGAGGTTGACTCAAGATCCCAGCCACAGTCAACAAAAAGAATAAGTCTGCAGCCCACTGCTGCTGTAGTGTGTAATGTCAAGAAAATGGGCTACTTGTGTCAAGCCAACAACCACAGAACCACAGGGCTGAGAACAGCAAGGGGCTTCTTTCTGCAGAGCCAATTCCTAGAAAGCCACAAGCAATTCATCCCCTGCCTGGGAATGTGACTCAAAGTCGGTGGCTAATGATGAAAAGCAATATGTTAACATCAGGAGGAGGAGGAAATAATTTGGAGGTGATGACACAGTCTCCGTTGAGCAGAAGAGCAAGCTCATTAGGAGCGGAAGTCAGTGAGGCAGAAGGAGCAGACCAGCTGCCAGGAGGTGAGCCTTGCTGTCTTCATCCTCAGTCAGCACCCTACTTCAGAATGTGCCTCACACGCCCCTAGGATTGCTCTAGTGCCCACCACATGCTCTCTGGGAGGCAGAAGGAGCAGACCAGCTGCCAGGAGGTGAGCCTTGCTGTCTTCATCCTCAGTCAGCGCCCTACTTCAGAATGTGCCTCACACGCCCCTAGGATTGCTCTAGTGCCCACCACATGCTCTCTGGTCCCACCCTTTCTCAGTGACCTCCCCCATCACAGTCCAGTCTACCAAACTGGGTGATCCCAAAGCAGGAAACACAAATGCCCCTATAACACGGGAGAGAAGGGGAGAGAAGCCCACTACAGACCACATTCAGGCACTCCCGTGCTGTGGTCAGGAAACGGCAATCACTGTATGGGAGAGTTACAGGGACACATTTAACAGGGCCGTGGCCTCCGTTCTGGCCGTACCACAGCATTTCCTCACCCAGGAGGGCTCTTGACTCTTTGAAGTATTATCCTTGTGCTACATGCTGGCATTTTGTAGGCATTCAATAAATTTGTTCCATTAAGAAAACCTTGATGTTTCATAAATTTTTTCTCCCCTAGATCAGGCTCTGTAATGTAGGAAGTCTAGCCTTTAGCACTAGTTTTTGGCACTTAATGGAATCCAGTTGCTTGCATTTTTCCAGCAATGCACAGGGAGCCGTGTTAGTAAGTGGCCTAATCTAGTTTACATCCCATCCCTTATTTGCCTCTTTCCCAAATAAGACCCCCAAATTACTGCTCAGATCCCAGTGTGGCCTACACTAGACACCACCTAGTATCTGCTTTAAAGATCAAATTATTCTTGGTCTGTCCCTAACTGATCTGGCAAGTCCAACAGAAATCATCTTGAGTCACCTCAGTTGGCTAAACATCAGAGGGACCCAGGGGGTAGAGGGTGAGCCACCACAGAGGCTTGACAGTGGAGGGTTGCTGTGTGCTTGAACAAATTGGGTTTTAGTGCTGTCTGCTCCCTGAGCTCACAGGCCCAAGGGCAGAGGGACAGTCACAGTGTAGTGTGTTGGACTGCACCATCTAGTGCGTTCCCGGGTGAGACCAGATGTTTCCTTTTGTTGGAATGACCCTTGAGCCCCCAGCTGATGTCTTCAGCCCCAAATTAGGAGAAATGCAAGTATCTCTATCCCCCTACTCTCTGTGGATGAATGAACTCTCCAGTCCATCAGCAAAGAGGCACCTGAATAGACTCAGAATTCCTGCAAGAGATTTTTAAGTGCACATAAAACCAACTGTGAAGAGCTTTTCCTTCCCCATACCCTCAGAATGACATCTGTGACCAATACTGGCCAGGGATCCTCGGGCCCAAATTTCAGGAGAGCAGTGGAAACAGCCGAATGGTCATCTCCTTCTCTGCCCACTGCTCCATGTGCCTGGCTGGATGTAAACGCCGCTTCATCGTTTGTAGGGCTCTGCTTCTGTTTAATTCTCCAGACATACAATTGATCAGAGGCTACAGAGCTTGATGACGTGAATGCAATGGATTCTCAAGGGAAACACCTTTTGTCGCACTTATTGTAACAAATGGATTCATGAGGGGTCAAGAACCTGAATTTAAAGATTACACATAAGTACATTCTTCCAGCTTCTACCAATGGCTTTTTTAAATCTTGATCGTAGAGGTCTAGTTACAAAATGGCTTTAAATAACACAATTGCTCTGAGTGGATAGCAGAAGCAAACATGAATGGTAATGTCAGAACGCTGGGTCTTTTTAACACTCAATTTCTATTTTAGAGGTGGTGATAAGTATTGTCCAGTGATATGCCCACTATTAGAAGCCATATATTCATTTCAGACAGAAGTCACTAGAACGTTTGGTGAAGGAGAAAAGGCCCCTTCCTTGTCCCTACGACACTCTCCCTGAACTCTCCATTTGTGGTGAGGGTCTCACCTCCAGTTACCTGGGATGCTGTAGAAAAATGGTGCTGCTTCATAGCCCCCGACTGTCCTGTTCTGGTTGGGAATCTCCCCCCTGCCCCCCGCCCCACCACCACCATCTGAAACATTTTAAATATTGATCTTGTAAGCTGAGCATCTGAAAGAAGCCTGGCTCCCTTAGGTCAGCTTTGTCCAATCTCAAGAACTGAACCCAGAGCATTTCGGATTGGAGCCACCCTGAACGAAGAAATGGCCAGCGCAACACATCAGGCCAAATTGCTTCATAAAGATGGCTGTGGGGGAGCTTTGGCGCCACCTGGTGGCCACTGTGCCCAGGAGGGTCAGTGACTGCCCTTTCCATGGAAGACCAGGAGGGAGGCATTTCACGTGCGTTGACTATTCTGCATTTAATTTTCTATTTTGTTTATTTCAACAAAATATTGAGGCAACTTAAATTTCAATGAAATAAGACAATAGAAATAGAAAAACAGCCAAGAAAAAGGAGTCTGCAAATATGTTCACCGTCAAGGAAAATGTAACTGCTGTAGTTGAAGTTCCTAGAAGCCAGAGCAAAAAGGGAAAGATGAGCAGCTTTATTGTTCTCACCCATGATTAAAGACTCTAGTGACATTGTCTTATTTCATTGTAATTTAACTCGCCTCAACTCAGTCTCTCTGAGGAAAGTAAGTTTTTCTTAGTAGAGATTTCTGAAATCACTTTCTCATCAGGGGATTTTCATTAGGGATTTTCTCCGTAGAGCTACTAAGTTGATGCAAGTTTGTGGCTTTCTTGCTTAGAGGATGGAATTGACAATATGCGGAGGAGAGGATGCTTTAGAGAAGCCTCTTTAGACGGCCTTCCCCAGCTGCACTGTGGGGAGAGGCAGAAATTTCATCCACGGCAGAAATCTTGGAGGCTGGCTTTGTCCAGTGCTCTTGAGGCCATATCTGCAGAGTCTGGAAAGCAGAGGGCAGGTGGTGAGGCTGATAGCCCAGTGGGAAGCCAGAGGCTCCTACCCACCTCTAGCCTGCAAGGACAGAGAGTCCCTGTCTACTAGAGCCCCCTCTGCGTCCCCATCCATCCTCTGCAGTTGCAAAGCCAACTCCAATGTCTAACCGCCCTAGTTAAAAGAAGCTTTGGGCATTTGAAGCTTTTCCAGAGAAGTTACAAATCCCTTTATACCACACACCACTGAGATTCCTAAAAATTGATAGGAATTCAGGTCCCTGCACTTCTTTCTTCATTGCTCTGAGTGGATTTGCTGATTGCCCTTCATTCAGCATTCAGCAAGTATTTACTGAGTCCCAGCTATGTGTCATCAGGCAGTGGGCTAGGTGCTGGGGAATAGAATTGAATGGAAGGGACATCAGTGTGGTCCTCGTGGACATAGCCTCCTACTACCATTGCTACTATCTACCATTTGCCCATAGATTTTAGAATCCTCCTGAGAGACCTAATGGCATTAAGCTCTGCTGCAGTTACAAATGGAGTCTCAGACTCTGGCATCAAATAGACCTGGCTTCCAATTCTGACTCCATCACCCACAGTGTGAACCGAGGGCAAGTTCTGTCACTCCTCTGAGCCTCAGTTTAACATCTATAAAATGTGGACAATTTCTACCTTGGAGGGTCATTTCAAGAATCAAGTCATATAATCTGTGCAGCAGCCCCTCTACTGCCCGCTCCGTGGCAGGTGTTCCATAAACGTTGATGTTCTTTTCCTTCTCTCAGACTAAAGAATGGCCGCTCCCCCGTGCCCGGTGCACCCCAGGCTTCCCTTCACAGACGCCCTGGTGAGAGGAGGGCAGATGAGGTCTTGCTCCAGAGTGCTCTGTGCAGCCGGCTGTTCTACCGTCACTTCTCAACCGCCTCTGGACAGAATCCCTCCCACCCACAGGAAATCGTGGACAGGAAGACCACTTCCCAGTCCATCACAGCCTCCCCGCCTGATTCTCTCTTCCTCCATTCTGAGCCACCCCAGCAAAGCCAGACCATGGTGCTTGTTACTACTCAAAGCTGCTCTTCCTCCCAGATCTCCAGCTCTGAGCTTCCCTTCCCCAACCACTTCCCTCTCGCTCCCCCTCCTACCACCTCAAACCCAGGAAACCTGCTCCCTGTCCCTGGGCCATCTCCCTGCCCACCCTCCATCTCTCTCCTCCCCTTTTCAGACCTTCCCACCCCACCTGGAGCCCCAGGTTGACCATGTCACTGCCGCCTCTGAGGCATCCTGGCACCCCTGCCCCGCTGGCCTGTGTGCACCTCGTCTGCCAGGCCCCAGGCCCTCCTGCGCGGTTGCTGTTTCCATCCCAT